TTGGTGGGCTTGACCAAGTAGAGAGTAAGATCGTGAAAATCAGTCACGCTACCATTGAAGGGCTTCCACATATCAAACTGAGTGAATACCGGTATCTCGGCGATCTTGTTAAACGCAGATGTGTACGCTTTTCTTACATCTATTTCGGTAGTTGCTTCGGGGGTATAACAGTATTTGTCGTCTTTGTCTGTCTCAGGGTTATATAAATAAAAATGTTTATTTATTTCACCCGTTGGGGAAATAATAATGTTTATTTATTTCACCCGTTGGGGGGATGGTGCGACACTCCTTGGAAATCTCTACATCTACTTCGTTGTAGTATGACTTGTGAGTAGGCTTGAAGAGGGCGGTGTTAAAATTAAACATCGCCTTAGACATCTTGTTGTAGATCTGCTCCGTTCTCACGCAGATGGAACCATCTATAGAATTATTTACTAAGTTCTGTGTCTTAACCTTGTATTTAATCTCTTTGTGGCTCTTGTTGTTTATCTTGATCTTAAACTTGAAATTAAGTTCAGATACAAAGCCTGAACTGAATCTAACCTGTGGCTCATATCCTGCCTGTTTGCTAAGATAAAAGAGATGAGACAGATCGTAGCCATTATATACCAGTGTGTATTCGCTATGCTCTGTGTGTTTCCGGATGTCGTCTAGGGATGTGATCATTTTACATTTTACTGGTTCCTCCTTCTCGTTAAGGTGATAATCGGAAGATGCCTTAACAGATATACTATAATTACTGCTTTTGGGTATCGTCTGCCTCAACATATTCATATTATCACTGACTGTGTAGATATGACTGTTCTTCACTATAGCGTATAAGGCTGGGATATTATGATTTCTTTTAATTGGGTCGCGCTTATAAATCAGAGTGTCAAAGACATCATAAATTCTGACTTGCAAGTTAAAATGTTCAAACACCTTAGCCATGTCAGTATTGATGCCCTTTTTGTTTTAAAATCTTCTTCCGTCTTGTTTATGATTTTTTAAGATGGCTTCTTTTGTGAGTTTGTTTTTCTCTCTCTTGTGATCTCCCATAAGAGTATCCTTATAATAATCCGTCAAGGTGTTGAACCAACACTCGTTCTTGACATAATGTTCTACTTTAATGGCTTCCTTGAAGGTCTCATACTGTGGATCTAAGGGTGTCTGAATATATCTGTGATACATACTGACATTCTCTGTGTTTGTTAATTCTTCCTCTTGTGGCTTGAAAGCATCGGCGTTATCTACCCTTTCGGCGTAATTAACTTTAATACAAGCAATGTATCCTTCGGCATAACCGACATCGGCTTTAAAACTGTCATCTGTCATTAATAACATCTTGAGCCTATGAAATGTTTTTGTGTCGGCCTTCTCGTCTCTAAATATTCGTCTCCCCGCTAGGTTTTCAACCCACGGTGTTGTGGCTACATTGGCTGATAGATCACGCATATAAATAGGAACGTATGCCCTACCCCTGCTGTCTCTGAAAGATACTGATAATCCTTGGTGTGATTCTGTCTTCAGTTGGTATAAGTGGACATTGATTGAATATTTTCTTGGTTTTCTTGGATTGGTTCTTCCCGTTCGTTTGTTGTCTTCTTTTGCTTGGGTCATTCTCTGACCTAGTTGTTCTTTATCCTTGTGCTTGTCGTATATTTTATCATATTCTTTTTCCACTTTAGTTCTTTCTTTGTCTGTTTTTGCGGTGGTGAGTTTCCTGATTAAATTGTCTGCTGTGGTGAATTGGGCGATCTTACGATCTGAATATAAGTTAATTCTATTTTGAACTTTTGTTCTGGTGGCTTGGGTGATGCGGTTTCGCTTGTTGTTATAAAATGTTTGTAGTGCTTCTGTATTACGCTTATTGGCTTTGGACATATACTAATATAATTAAACCACATATATTTTTTCTTTTTAAGTATAAATTTTCCAAGGATTTTTTAAAAATACGAAATGTTATGTCTAAAGATAGAAAATAATATATAGTATAGTATAATA